TACCCCTGCTTGAGAACCACTGGTGTAGAACCACTCTGAGGAGAAGTAGCTAGGCCTACAGAAGAATTCTGTCGACCTAACGCTGTCTACACCGGGAGTTGGTTGGCTTAGCTATGTCGCTCGGGGAGTAGGTTTTTCACACCCATGAGTGATGTAGCTGGGTTGACCTAACTTGTTAGTGTAGGCCCTAGACATGCAAATGTTCCTACATGATAAGAGAAACACAAATTATTTGACAGTATTGAGTTTAGAATTATCTACTGAGTAATGCTCTCCTCTCTCTTAGTTCTTCACAATCTAACTGGGGAAGATAAACTATTAATATATAAAAGGTTATGGGATACTTTAAAACACCTATTGAGAAAATACTGATACTCAAAAGCTGGGACTCATTAATTTTTACAAGGGGTGGGGAGATAAATGGAAAGATCAGCCAGCACCAAGAGTGGTCCCCTTCACTGGATGATGCGGCTCTCCCTAAGAGAGCTAATACAGTGATATTCAATATTTTAATTATGTTATGGACTGGAATGGAAAAGAGTTCCTTTTTAACAGCAAAGAAGTAGAACAGTGATGGGGAAAAAACTAGTTTAGGACAATAAAGGCTGGAAGATTTTGGTTTTTTGGTGGGGTGCGAAGGATGGGAAATGCAAGATACTCCTTTTCTTAATCTCAGACTTCAGAAAGACACATGCTCCATGCTGGAAAAAAAGGGAGAGGCAGCAAGAGACTGTGACAACTTGCCTGGGGATACTTGCAAGCACAGACTACAAAATATTAAAGTCTGTTGAATTATTTGTGTGTGTGTTTTTGTCTGATAGGAACAGCGGAAATACCAAACCAACCAATACCCACATGCATAAGAAACTCAAGGGATGTATCTAATAATTTTGAATTTCAAGTACCTAATCAGGTTTTTGATAATGCTATGGATTACAAGATTCCTCCCAATGCTTCACTCTTTGGAACCTTCCCTGTACATACGAATGTAGTGTTACCGAAGTAAGCCTGACTTGGAGAAAATAACTAACTGAGACAAACTACACTAGAACTAGAAGTGTGAACTTTGATTGCCCTCTCCACCTTATGCCCCACAAAATGGATCATTAACTTTTCAGTATGCAGAGATCACTGGAGAAATTTTATAAATAAAACCACAGGCTGAGACAGAAAACTAGTGTTTACAAAATATACTTACCATACTTCCTCCAAATGTATCAAAGGGCAGAACTGAGCTTCCTTAAAAAACCTCAAACACTGTTATTATTTGAATGGCAGACAAAAATCTTTATTTTAGACATAGTTCCAAATCCAGATTTTTTTTTTCTTTTCAAAATCTCAAGACTTACTATCAGTCATAGGGAAAGTCCTACCCACTATAAGGCTGTATGACTCCACATGCTCTGTTATCCTACAGTCTAAAAAAAACCCCAAACCCCAAGAACAAAAACATATAGACATACATATCTAACTATAATAGGATTTCCCAGGAGGAGGAAGATATATATTTTTTTAAATATAGAAATTTCAGTAATTAATCTTTACACCAGCAATGGGAGGTAGGTTAGTAATATCAACTTGTTTAAAGATGGGGAAACTGAGGCACATGGTGGCTAAACAACTTGCCCAAGGTCACCGAGCAAGCGAGCAGTAGAGCTGGGATTAGAACTCAGGAGTGCCTGATGGCCACCCCGCCCCCATTCCTTTTATATTACACTGCCTAGAGAAGCCTACATAGGGTGCCTTTTGCATCATTCACCAACCTCAGATATAGGCTGTTGGTATGGAGACGATATGCCCCTGAGCATTATTTTTAATATTTTTCCTTTTTTAAGTGTTACTGTGTCTGGGCTATTTCCATGTCACCCTTTTATACAGAATTATTAGTATATGTGGACATGAAAGCCTCCTGAATTTAACAGAAGAAAAATGCATTTTTATGAAATGCATCAACAAGACTGGTTATGACAAAATGGCCAAATCTACAGCAGCCAAAGACTTGTGGGAGAGGTGTCAGTTCCAAGAGCGGGCCTCCCGGCTTTAGAAGGCAGGACCAGCACCAGAAGTCTGAAGGTCCAAGAAAAAACAAAAGCTACTGACCTCCTTTAGATTTAAACATAAGCCCCCTGAGGCAGACACTAATATTCTTTATTATTTGTACCATGGCACCACAGTTTTGGCAGCCTGTCCAAAGTGGCTGGGAGGGCAACTAATTCAGGAGATGGGAATCCTGTTCTTGGAGATGGAATGTTTTTGCACATGTACATGGGGTCTCTATCAGAAATGATTGCATGAGGAATGGACAGTTCCTTTTGGTCTGTGATTAAGTACATAAAACTCTAAATGACCTAGTAAAAGCCAACATGGAATCTACCATGTGGAGTAAGTGCACTTAGTTCCTGACCCACACTTTCTATCCCAGCATGCCCCCTTTCCAATTTTAGGGATTAAAAAGGCACAGTGCAAGCCAGTGCCATATGTACTTTGCTGATTAGCTTGTTTGTGCACCTTTAAGTGCTATGTAAGCAGGCTATTCAGGGTATATGCAGCAAGTAGCTGTACCTATCTCACTAAATACAACACTGGACCCTAAGTGCTTTAAACTATGATCCTGCAGAAGTTTCAGATATTTCACGAGAAATATTGGACAAGCATATTCTGAAGTCAATTAAAAACAGAAAAGAAAAACAATAGGCCAGAATATTATACTGATTTGTAAATGTTCAGTACAACCTCTGTAAATTTCTTCAAATCCTTCATTAGGATTAGGAGTTAGGAATCAACCCTATAAAGTTTAAATCATGCGAGCAACCCTCTTGAAGTGAACATGATTATCAGTGAGAGCAAGAATAACTCATGGGTATAAGAGTTACAGAATCAGGTCTTAGGGTTTCTGTAAATTTTGCTTCGAATCTCAGGATTAATTGGAGCTGAATCTATTTCCCTATGTTAAGTATCCTCACACCTTCTTGTCAACAGTCTAAATGGGCCATCTTGATTATCACTACAAAAGTTTTTTTCTCCTGCTGATAATAGCTCATCTTAATTAGCCTCTTACAGTTTGTATGGCAACTTCCACCTTCTCTGTATTTATATACACCTCTACCCCAATATAATGCGACCTGATAAAACGCGGCTTCGCATACAACACAGTAAAGCTCTGACACACTGCTCTGAGCAGCATGTTAAGGGTGCTGTGCTGTGCCGGGGCCGAGGGGTTTGATAAGGGGCAGAGGGTCTCGGGGGTGGTCAGGGCTCCCCTACCCCCCAGGGTCTGGGAGGCAGGAGCTGTGGGGAGGGGGCACTTTTGAGGGCCCCGCAGTCCCAGAGTGGCCCGGGGGATTAGGGGGGTGCTGGGAGCAGCCCACTGCACTTCCCTCACCCCGGCCCCAGCTGTGTCACTCAGGGGAGGGGTCCCCCTTGCACCCTTGCTTGGGATCCCCCTTGCACTCACCGGCAGTGGTGGAAGTGGAGCAGCCCAGCCCCAGCCTGCTCTTCCAGCTCCCGTGCTCCGCTTCCCGCCGCAGGTGAGTGCGGGACCTTTCCCCAACCCCAACCCCCCTCCCCCCACAGCCCCAGCCTGCAACACAGCTGGGGCCAGGGCAAGGAAAGTGGAGCAGGCTTGGGCCATGTCGCTCCGCTTCCTGCCACAGGTGAGTGCGGGGGCCGTCCTTTCCCCAACCTCCCCGCACTCACTGGCGGCGGGAAGCGGAGCACCACAGCTGGGCGGTGATGGAGGGGAGTGGGCTGGGGCTGTGTTGCTCCACTTCCCGCCGCTGCCGGTAAGCGCCTGTCAGGGGGCAAGGGGTGTGGATGGGGTTGGAGCAGTCAGGGGACAGGAGCAGGGGGGTTGGGGTCCTGGGGGTGATTAGGGAAGGGGGTCTCTGGAGGGGGCAGTCAGGAAACAAGGAACAGGGGGGGCCAAAGCAAGTTAGATATAACACGGTCTCACCTATAATGTGGTGAGATTTTTTGTCTCCCGAGGACCGCATTATATCGGGGTAGAGGTGTATGTATCTTCTTACTATATGTTCCATTCTATGCATCCGATAATGAAGTGGGCTGTAGCTCAAGAAAACTTATGGTCTACTAAATTTGTTAGTCTCTAAGCTGCCACAAGTACTTCTGTTCTTTTTGCAAATACAGACTAACACGGCTGCTACTCTGAAAACCATCTACAACAGAGACTCTCAACAAGATTTGGGGCTTGTCGTGGATAACTAGCTGAACATGAGCTCTCAAGGTGATGGTGTGGCCAAAAAAAAGCAACCTTGGGATGCATAAACGGGAATCTTGAGTAGGAGTAGAGAGGCTATTTTACCTCTGTATTTGGCATTGGTACGACCACTACTGGAATACTGTGTCCAGTCCAGTTGTCCATAATTCAAGAAGGATGTTGATAAACTTGAGAGGTTTCAAAGAAGAGCCACGAGAATGATTAAAGGATTAGAAAACGTGCCTTATAATGACACACACAGAGTTTGATCTATTTAGCGTAACAAAAAGAAGATTAGGGGCTGACTTGATCACAGTCTAAGTACCTACATGGGGAATATATGAAAATAGGCTCTTCAGTCTAGCAGACAACAATATAACACAATCGAAAGTCTGGAAGTTGAAAGTTGACAAATTCAGACTGAAAATAAGGTATAATTTTTTTTTACAAGTGTGAGTGTTAACCACTGGAAGAATTTACCAAGGGTCACAGTGGAGTCTCCATCCTGACAATTTTTAAATAAAGATTGGATGTTTTTCTAAAAGATATGTTCTAGGAATTATTTTGGGGAAGTTCTATGGCTTGTATTTTGCAGGAGGTCAGATTAGATCATCACAATGATCCCTTCTGGCTTTTGAATACATGAATAAGCAAAGCAGGTTATCTACCAAGCTTCCTTTTCTAAAGTAACAATAATTGTAACCAACCTTTTACGAGGAATTCTTTGACTGTTACTTAAAAAATCCAGGTTCATATGATTAGTGATACATTAGTGCATGGTTACCTGGGAAGCAGGTTGTTAGGTGTTCCATTAGAGCTTCTTGTGTGACTTGTTTTCGCGCAGAGTTCATTGCCGAGATGGCCAAGCAAAGGATTTCCCCAAGTGGAATAAACTGTGACTGACTGATGGGAGACATATTGATTGGTGATACATCACCTGTAGAAAGACAGTAGACATTCAAGGAAGGCTTTCATTTAAACGTTGTTCACTGATCATATACAGAGATGTGTCCACTGCAATGTGCACAATTTTGTATAGTTTATATTGCTCTTGCGATAAAACCTTCAAAACTAGATCAACAACTTATTAGAGAAGTCAAAGACACAATACATTTTTGACATTGAAGGTATATTAAAATGTTCAGGAAATATTTTTGAAGAACAATCCAATACTTGAACCCAAAAAACCCACACCCATTGCAGCTGCAGAACCCCAAGGCTGTATGTCCAAAGTGACAACTGTACACACAAGCATGAACTTGTGAATGCAATGGGTTCATACACATTTTTGCAGGCACAAGCACTGCTCTCTCTTTTCAAATCCTGGTTGTATGGGTCATCTAGAGTTTGTACTAGAGAGAATTTTGAATTTTTTAAAAATTGCAACAAAAATTAGAAAAAGAAAATTCTGCAAGTGATAATGAGCCATATTTTTAGCTTGCTGGCCAGCTATATTATACCCTCTGCTCAGTGGCACAAAAACATCAAATACCTAAAGAGTTAAAGAGCTCCTTCCTTGGTCTGCAGATGTAATGACTTTGCATGACTGTAGTTTAAAAAGAGAAATTTTGAAGTTTTGTTGAAGAAATATGAACAAGTACAGACAGTTGTGTTATCTGCTTTAGGTGAACTGTATTTTTACTTGCCAGGTTACTTATCCAATTAATTTTTCCCATGAAGTTTTTTAAATATATTTTATTAGCCAATACTTTAAGAGCACTGAACAACTTTTAAACTTAAAAGGTTACAGGATGAGAAACAATTTGATGAGATAAGTATATAGTACATACACATTTAAAGTCTGCTCTTTATCTCCTGTTTCAGTGGTAATAGTTCCCAGATGGTCCCAAAAGTACAGCAGTGCTTCCTACGTAACCAGTGAGAAAGCAGAAGGATTTGAGGTTTCCTTAACCATAACAGAATACTAAATAGTTACAACAGGCTAAAGAGTTGGTGTTAGGATTCTGATCAGCTTTGGACTACAGTTCAGGTCACAGACTGATCAATCACTGGGTTGCAGGTTTAGATTAAATGGCTTTGAAACTTCATGAGCTGTTCTCATGAGATTTCAGCGAATTTGAACAACTAGAATGCAGTTTTGGATCAGATCAGAAACCACATATATGGAAGTGGGTTCAAATCTATGAATTCAGATCCAACCCACTCCTGAAATTGAAAGGGATTAGATGTTCTGCATGTGGCCCCATTAATTTTAATTGTCTTGTTTTTTACTAAGCAGGTACAGTGTGCTCACACAGGGCTCACAAATGGAAAATCAAATGCATCTCATCTTAAACAATACTCAGAATTGTTGCACTGAGTATTTTGTAAAAAAGTTTTCATAATTGCTTTAGGTTAACCCTATGTGTAATATTTGTTTTTCAAATACGCCAGTTGCATATTCTGTTGCGCAGTAGGGACACATGAACAGAGATGCATTAAGGATTTAAAAAATCACACATACAAATATGGAAGTGGATTTAAAAATAAGTTTATTTATGCTGTATCTCTCTGGAACACTGTTGCCTACCACCTAAACAGGTCTTCATTCTGCAACTGGATATATGCTGGCAGACCTTAGAACCTATAGAGAGCCCCATTACCTTCAGTTGGACTCCTTGTAAGCACAAAGATCTGCCCCATGTATGTTTGACTTCAGCACTGGGGCCTTGAATTAGAAGCTCATTGGGACATTTTTGTTTTACCTGTCTGCAAAGCCACTGGGACATTACAAAGTAATAACCAACAACAATCTGGAAGATGGTGGACATCTGATTAGGAAGAATAGTAGACAGGCTTACAAATGACAGGACGCAAAAACAGGTAGGCACAGCATTCCTAATTTTTTAAGAGGGGAAAAAACCTGAAGAGTTAATTATACTATTGTTAAGACAAACAAATATTTTATCTGTCAACAGGTAAAATTATGTATATAAACATATGAAGATAAAATCTTTAAAATCAATGAGACATAAATATAAGAAAGTAAGTGTTCAAATGTATCTAGATAATACTTAGTCCTGCCATGAGTGCAGGGGACTGGACTAGATGGCCTCTCAAGGTCCCTTCCAGTCCTATGATTCTACCTACAAAAATGAAATTGTATTGGAGAGAAGATGACATTGACCTAATTGGTCTCATACCTGAAAAGCATCAGAATTGGTATGTACACACACTCCAAAGGATTACAACTGGAACACGAGATCTTTCTTTTTAAATAGGCCACTTAACCTAAGGAATCATTAGGATTTAATAAATGATCCTTTACAATTTTTAATTAGTCTTCTGAAGGAAGAGATTGGATTCAGAATGTTGTGAATTGTATGTTTCAGTTGGCTGCATACTAGTCATCAAGTAGTAAAGTTATTTTAATTTTAGAAACACTTGGTGCTTCCTTTTTATGTAGAAATATCTGTGTACGCTGTGCATGAGAAACGGTTTTGTAAAGTATGCAAAGTGCAGACAAGGCCCTATAAGCCCCCATTTTCAAACGGCAAGTCTGCAAATATTGTTCTAAAATTGTGAGCTTAATTTGCACAATTAGTTACCACTAAAGCATCTGGAAATCGGGTTTTTTTATGTAAGCAAATCAGATACAATTTTCAACGGGAATCCATACACATTTTAAATTCAAAAGGAATGGCTGACATATATTAGTTTCGTAAAAGGCTATCATAATTCACTCCTTGCTAATCCCTTTGAGAGTTGGTTAACTTTGACATGGCAACCCTCATTCATCTTCACTGCTGTCAGAATTAATTCTATAGTTAAACCTACAGATGCCAATAAACCATCTACTGGAGATAATTTGCGATTCTTCAAACAGAGGAACAGAACATCTGTAAAACTTACAATAGATCTAGTAATAGAGAGCCACAGAGACCAGCACTTATGGAGGTACTAATTTGCCAAATTTTATCTTAAACACCCTTGGGCTCTGGGAAGTTCCAAGTACTCTGTGGTTGAAGTTAAGTGAACAAATTCTTTGATGCACAGCAACAGAAAGTATCTTGTGTTTACAATTTAATTTAATATATTATCACCAATTATATGTGTAAATACCATTTATCCTTTTGAATACAAGATTTACAACAAATCTTTTTAGGAAAGATCTGTTTTTAAAAAAAATCAAGTATTCTTTTCCTAAAACTTTTTTTTTTTGGTAGACCTCAACACTTTATAAAGGATTCAGCATATGGCTCCCATTAACTCAGTCTGATGCTTATTTCAAGCAGCTTTCCTTTGAAATCAAATTACTAGACTTGACTTTCAAATGTTTATGTTCAAAATTAAAAGGAAAATAGTGAAGCCCAGAAAGCGGCATTCATCAGCTGACTGTATGTTTTGTTAAAATACCATCAGCAGCTAGAAGTACATGGTTTCAATTCCATTTCAGTGGAAAGAAAGTCAAACTTTATTAAAAAAAAGAATGATAATAAAATCAAGTTTCCCGGTATTTTCTTATGTACTTCATAAGCATTTTGAAAATGTCTAAGCACCTAACAAGTAATTAATGGGATCTGGTCTCTCGTTGATGACAATGGGATTTACATAGATAATTACCCTTTTTAATGGGAGCTATTATTTAAAAATTAAGAGTCCAGTTATAAGTAAAATAAACACATGCTCTTAAATAGCATTTTTCTTCCATGGATCTCGAAGCACTTTACAGAGATGAATAAACATTATTATTCCTACTTTACAGATGAGACCCCACGGCACAAAGAGGTTAAGTGATTGCCCCAGGTTACACACAATCAGTAACAGAGTTGGAAATAAGAACCCATGCTTCAGTGTCCTATTCACCAGCTCTGCTATACACCATTTAATTCAGTATACCTGCTCCCTGTATGTCTGAATCTCATCTGTTTATTTTACTGACAAAAAATATTTTTTAGTAGAGATCACACTTATGACAAAATGTTATGAAAGACAAACCTAGACTGCATTCTGCTCTATGCATTAGCAACAAAACTGTCAGCTAAGTTCTGACAATAGAATCTTTATTACTGATTAAATGGTTAGAAAGAACAAAGTTTGACTTCCCGCTCTCTGTCTCAGTTTGCAGGGACAGCAGTTAGAAAAATCATCTTTGATTTATAAATGGAGCCAATTCAATGCATCCATTGAGAGAGAAAAATATGAAAATACTACAATGTTTTTACAGAGTCACTTTTCAGAGTACAACCACACTTTATTAGAATTTATACACTTATTTCCTCACATATGGGGAAGAAACCCCCTAAGAGCACTTCTGCAGTGCAGTGAAATGTAAGAAGCCCAAATGTAACCAATTCCTCCCCTTCTCCCTGTCACTCAGAGCTCTTTAACCTTTTGTGGTACAGCAGTTTTCTCCAGATAAACTTTAAACATACGATTTTATTAAAAAGGAAATTTCAAGTTATGACATTACAGCCATTTCATGATATCTAACTACCACAGGGAGGGTTTGCATTAGAAATGCTTTAGATAGATTTCCATGCCAACAGACTGATATCTTCAGCACACGATTGTGACTTCACTATGGGATCAAGCAAAAGTAGAAGCTTGTTTGTGATAGTGGAAAAAGCTCTTCTTCGAACAAAAGATAGCTAACAGCAGCAGCTGGGGACAGAGAAAATTACAGACAGAAGAACAAACTCCTCATATAAATATTCTCTTTTCGAGCTTACCTAAAATCCCTTTTTGAAGGGACACATTTGCAAAACTACTTTTTGTGAGCCTAACTGGCGAATACTGGTAGATAAACTGAACAAGTTATGCATTTGACCGGGGTTGCATCCTCATTCCTAAATTTCAAGGTGAGTTCAATCATATTATTTCCAGAATAGCCCACATCATAGGCTAGCAAACAAACACTTAAAAACACCAATTCAAAACAACAATGTACAAGTGCATATCAAATTGCCACTTGAGGCTATATGGCACCTTTTAACC